ATAATTCCCCCCCCCCCCCTTTTTATGTATACATGCCTTGCTCCCTTGTGACAGACATTTAGTCTTTTCTAAAGGTATTCATTGACATTTTTTTCACTTGATATGTTTGCCAATCATTATTTTCATATTTTGTCATGTTTACCTTGAAGGAATTCATTGAATAAAATCAAGATTTAAAAAAAAAAAATCTAAATAATAAAGGAAGATAAAAGTTAAATGTGAACTAGAGGTCTTTATTTCAAATATACCTCTTCATATATAGCTCTGCAAAGAAAGGTGCTAAATGTAGGCTACCTGAATGAAATCACTCTATAGGTATATTATCTTGGTGGAAACGCTGGATCAGCGTGGGCTTGGTGAATGTGGTTCCCTGGGGACTCAAAAAGTGAAACAGATTTATATCTCTTGGGCATATGAGATTTAAAAAATTTTTTTTTTGAAGTTTTATCAAATAAATGCTTAGTTTAGTCTAGGCCCAAATCTAAATATTTTGTTCCGATAAAGCATTGTGGTCTGGAACAAGAAAATCAGGGTTTTCACCATAGGCTAAAAAAAAAAAAAACTTTCATAACTGTCTTCATCACTTTAAAAATGTAACGTTGTGGATGTTGATGCACAGTTCTTCATTTCAAGTGACTTGGACTGGCATCTCAGATTAAAATTACCCTTTAACAAAAGGAGGCTTATTTACATGAACTAATAGAATCAGTGTGACTCTGCAGCACAAAAGCAGTGTTGAGTCGCTGGGGGATATTTGTAGCAATAACCAACAATACATTGTATGGGTCACAATTATAGATTTTTCTTTATGCCAAAAATCATTAGGAAATGAATCATGTTCCATGAAGATATTTAGTAAATTCCCTACCATAAATATATCAAAACTTAATTTCTGATTAGTAATATGCATTGCTAAGAACTTCATTTGGACAACTTTAAAGATGATTTTCTCAATATTTAGATTTTTTTTTTTTTTTGCACCCTCAGATTCCAGATTTTCAAATAGTTGTATCTCGGCCAAATATTGTCCTATCATCACAAAATTCGGAAAACTGACTCTTATGACTGGTTTTGTGGTCCAGGGTCACACATATCAGATATTTCTTCAAAAGATTGGCGTTTTTACCGCAGAGGGATAAACGTCATCGCGTCTAGCCAATCAAAGAGCTCGTCCTTTCCACTGTATCCCGCGAGGCGCTCTGTCTCAGATCGATTTCTATTGGACGGTTTCTGTGTGATTTTAACCAATCACACTCACCCAGGTCACAGCAAACGAACAGGAAGAAAAGATGGCGGCGAGGAACGGAAAGAATGGTCTACTGGAAAAAGTAAGAAATGTTTATTGTATGCCGCATTTTTAGAGATACGTTTATATTTGCGCAGCCATCCTTAGAGCCCAACATAAATGTATTATATATAATATATCTCTCGAATTGTTGATGCGACCGTCGCTCTTGTTTGCGTGTCAGAGGCCAAAACGTAAATGGATGCACGTTGTTCATTGTGCATTTATATATTATTAAGTGAGCATGTATATTAAAACCATTTGATGTCGTTAACGTGTAGATACAGAGGATTACACAACGTTGCACAAGTTTTGAGTCGTGCTCATCATTAGTATCATCTTCTGCAAGCATATGGTGTTAGAAACTAGGAAGCTTGCAGTTGAGACATGCACATATTTCCATTTGTCTTTCATTTCCTCTACTCAAAATGTATATTAGAATGCGCAAGACTTCTTGCATTGTGCGAACAGGAAGAAAAGATGGCGGCGAGGAACGGAAAGAATGGTCTACTGGAAAAAGTAAGAAATGTTTATTGTATGCCGCATTTTTAGAGATACGTTTATATTTGCGCAGCCATCCTTAGAGCCCAACATAAATGTATTATATATAATATATCTCTCGTTACTCGAATTGTTGATGCGACCGTCGCTCTTGTTTGCGTGTCAGAGGCCAGAACGTAAATGGATGCACGTTGTTCATTGTGCATTTATATATTATTAAGTGAGCATGTATATTAAAACTATTTGATGTCGTTAACGTGTAGATCGCGTCTAGCCAATCAAAGAGCTCGTCCTTTCCACTGTATCCCGCGAGGCGCTCTGTCTCAGATCGATTTCTATTGGACGGTTTCTGTGTGATTTTAACCAATCACACTCACCCAGGTCACAGCAAACGAACAGGAAGAAAAGATGGCGGCGAGGAACGGAAAGAATGGTCTACTGGAAAAAGTAAGAAATGTTTATTGTATGCCGCATTTTTAGAGATACGTTTATATTTGCGCAGCCATCCTTAGAGCCCAACATAAATGTATTATATATAATATATCTCTCGAATTGTTGATGCGACCGTCGCTCTTGTTTGCGTGTCAGAGGCCAAAACGTAAATGGATGCACGTTGTTCATTGTGCATTTATATATTATTAAGTGAGCATGTATATTAAAACCATTTGATGTCGTTAACGTGTAGATACAGAGGATTACACAACGTTGCACAAGTTTTGAGTCGTGCTCATCATTAGTATCATCTTCTGCAAGCATATGGTGTTAGAAACTAGGAAGCTTGCAGTTGAGACATGCACATATTTCCATTTGTCTTTCATTTCCTCTACTCAAAATGTATATTAGAATGCGCAAGACTTCTTGCATTGTGGCTACTGTATATGTGATTAGAAACTCGTGCTCTGTCAGAAGCAGGTTTATCATATTTTAAAGGGGTCATATGATGCGATTTCAATTGTTCCTTTCTCTTTGGAGTGTTACAAGCTCTTGGTGCATAAAGAAGAT